ACACATAATGCTGAGGATAGGACTTTACCAATCCAGACAGTCACGCTGATGCTAAAAGTGACAGCTAACTACTCCCTCACTTTCTCTGTTCTGATCCATTACTACCTAGGGCATTTTGCTTTGTCTTTACCTAAGCCAAGGCAGCAAGTAATATTTAATAGTATTCACTAATACTTGTGCCTTGTTTGCAAGGCAGTGCATTATTCATGTGTGCTTTAAGCTGGTAGTGAAAGGGTATGGACTCTAATTTTAAACCGATCATTTGCCTAGTGGTGCACAGAGTACTAGGGCTGCATTATCCTGCTAAGGTTTGTGCTTGAGGCAGGACCTGGGGATGTGACTCCTTGTCACGATGGAAGTGTCTATGTGCCAGTGGGTAGACTCTTCCCCATGCTTCAGAGGCTAGGCTGAAACCCCTCCAGGCCCTCTCCGCAGAGTTCCCTGCTCCCTCCAGTTTTCAGCCTTATCCTGATGCCAGTTTCTCCTGAACAGGGGGAAATGGTATCAAGCTCATCATGGAGTTTCTGCCTTCGGGAAGCCTAAAGGAATATCTGCCAAAGAATAAGAACAAAATTAACCTCAAACAGCAGCTAAACTATGCCATCCAGATCTGTAAGGTAAAAACACACAAACAGAAAGGCAGCATGTTTACAAAAACAAAACAAAACAGGCATATAAAGAATATACTATGTAATTGGTTAGTAATTATACCTCAGTGGGAGACTGTAATAATTAGACTAAGCTTTTTTATGCTATACCATTCACATGAAATATGAGCCTCCACTACACAAGCAAGTGGGTTTGGTCCAACAGCTTCAGTTTGGACTTTTTATTTTTGGATCGTTTAATCTTAGAACAACAAAATGTTAGTGATGTGGGAACAAAATGACTTTCTTTCTCATTGTGAAGTAGAATATAGGAAACACAATCTGAAGTGACTTTTGCAATGGGCCTGACCCACGTTTCTCTCTTAGGGGATGGACTATCTGGGTTCTCGACAGTACGTTCACCGGGACTTAGCAGCAAGAAATGTCCTTGTAGAGAGTGAACACCAAGTGAAGATTGGAGACTTTGGTTTAACTAAAGCAATTGAAACCGATAAGGAGTACTACACAGTCAAGGATGACCGCGACAGCCCAGTGTTTTGGTATGTGAATCATCTTAACTGTGCCTCATGGGTTATAACCACTGTTGAAGGGCTCTGTCTAGCCATGCTTGGGTGTCCACCAGCTGCTCTGCCGAAAGCTGAAGTTTGATAGCACTGGCTTTGCCAAGAGTGGGAGAGTTTGGGCCATCACCAGCTTCTCTCTCTGTAGCTTCACGTGTGCAACAGCACCCACCACAGTTCTCATAACCGTGAGCAGGTGGAGGAGGCTGGCTCTGATAATGCATCCATGTAGAAGGCCTGGTGGGGTCACAGGGCCACAAGGTACACAGGCCAGAGTCAAGGAGATCCTGGAGACGGGAGACTTGGCTAGATTTTAGGAACCACACATCCACCATCTCTCAGCCCGGACCACTAGCTGCCCATGCTCTAAGGCTCATTCTGGTGTCTCTATGCAGACACATAGCCCTCTCAGCCTGCAAGGCCTATCCATACACTTCTTTTCTCGTTTGAAAACCAAGTGTTTTAAGGCTCTTATTTGTGCCAAATGCTAGAGATATGGTGACCCAGTTGGTGATGTCTGAGTTATGGGTATGGTGGCCAACTTTGTGGAGCCTTCAGGCATGGTTTTCGAAAAAACGTGCCTATTTAGGGAAAAGTTGGAAGATTCACACAGGTTGGGTGGAAGGAGGCCTGTGCTGTGTGGCTGGTAGGAATCAGAACTGAAACAGAGGGTCATTGGAAAGGTTTGTAGTGGGTGGCTACAAAGTCAGAGATGAGGAACCTGCATTTGGGAGCTGGGAATTCATCTCAGTAAAAGCCACCAGAGACTTGCAGAGTTTGTGCTGAAGGTCACCATGAAAGGAGGGGAAAAAAGGAACAAAGGAACCAGGGTTAGCTGCTTCACCAGCCCATGTAGGAGCCACACGCCTGGGGAGTAGTGGTTGGGACAGTGGAAAGTGAATTTGGACTACTGAGGAAACTAGTTCTGGGATGCCTTGACACCTGGTATGGGCACCTGGGCGTTATTCACCAGTAGTGACACTGGGAGGATGCTGGCTCTGAGCTTGTAGGGCTGTAACCTGGGGTTAGTCTTTAAGGGCCTGTTTCCTCCCCAGAAGATTGTCTCCTGGGACAAGAGGAACACAAACCTTTCATTTGAGGACAGCTAAGATGCTGTGAGCCTCTAGGTTGCCGCTTCATATGTCAGATGTGCACTGTGGCAGCAGTAAGGACTGGTACTCCATTCACTCAGATGCATGTGTAGTCAGAGAAATGGCTTTCCTGAGGTATTCTGTCATTTTTTTTTTTTTTTTTGAGGAAACAATGGTTTATTCCCTGCTTCCCTTCAGGTACGCTCCAGAATGTCTAATCCAGTGTAAATTTTACATCGCCTCTGACGTCTGGTCCTTTGGAGTGACACTGCACGAGCTGCTGACTTACTGCGACTCGGACTTCAGTCCCATGGCTGTAAGTGCCAACTGCCACCTTCACCTGAGCCAGCACCCAGTGGAAAAAGCACCTGTTCTTCTTCTGCTAAGTTTTGCTCTTGAATGGAGTTCATCAGTGTGTCACACAAAGAGAGATATGGTCATGTTCTTTTTGGCCTGGCTTTTCATGGTCAGGCAGAGTTTGCCTTCACAAGTCCAGAATCTCTAAAATGATCCAGATCTTTAGGGTGAGGGCCACCTTGAGAGAATGAATGCTTTGAACACTGGGTAGGGCTTTGTTTTCACTTAACTGTGGCTGTGCTTGCTCCCCACATATGTCGTTCATAGACTGATCCTCAAGAGCAAATGAGGATTTCCCTAGAATCGATGAAACTCCTGCTAGGTGTAGGGAAAAAAATGGTTAGGTCTACGGATGCCCTACGCCTTCCCAACCGATGAAAAGCTGAAATAAATTGTTAGCGGATTTAGATTTTCATTGACGTTATTGAGGAGAGAAGCTTTGTGGCTTTAATTTCTAGTTAGGCTGGGATCTTCACCTTATTTTGTTTGGTTTTATTTTACATAGTTGTTCCTGAAAATGATAGGCCCAACTCACGGTCAGATGACAGTAACACGGCTTGTGAATACTCTGAAAGAAGGGAAGCGCCTGCCATGTCCACCCAACTGTCCTGACGAGGTACCTGTGTCCCCTTCATGGGAAAGAAACGTGCTTTGTAATGTTTTACAGCTTGACTTAGCCTGCAGGAATGGGGGAGGGGAGAGGATCGGGAGAGAAGACCCGTAAGCTGTGCTGGGGAGTTGGCTCTTGGTTATGAGTACTTGCTGCTCTTTCAGAGGACTGTTCCCATCATCCATATAAGGTATTAGAGAAATCTCTCTTGGGGTAGGCGATAGTGATGCTCAAGCAAGGCTCCCCTCATGGAGCTGTCCCCTCCATCCCCTGCGTGCCAGTCCACCTTCCTTACTTGTGTAAACACATCTCGCTCATTAGCATTTAAGTTTTCTATATTCTAAACTGGATTGAGCCTTTCAGCAATAGGGTCTCTAGATGGTCAGAGTGAGGCATCATGGTGGTGAAAGGGTTATATAGCTTATCATTTTCTGTATTTTAAATTATCCAAATATTCCATTCTGTAGTCATAATAAGTTTGAAACCACCTTTTCTTATTTTCAATAATTCTGGGGGGGGCGGCGGTCTTTGTGTTGTATGCACATAAATATACATGTTTTCAAATATGTGGGTGCATATAGATGCTAGAGACTGATGTTGTGTCTTCTTGATTGCTCTGGTTTTTATTTATTGAGGCAGGGTCTCCTTGAAGCTAGCCCTCCTGATTCTGCTTTCTAAATGTGTGTGTCGTGGCTCTGAACTTTGGTTACATACTTGTGGGGCAAGTACTTCATCCACTGAGCCATCCCTCCAGCATCTCTTTTTGTAAATCTCACAAATCTGACATTATCTGTACTGTTCTTGCTTTTATTTTTCATAGGTTTATCAGCTTATGAGAAAATGCTGGGAATTCCAGCCGTCTAATCGGACAACCTTTCAGAGCCTGATCGAAGGATTTGAAGCACTTTTAAAATAAGAAGCATGAGTAACATTTAAATTCCCATTTATCAAGTCCTTCTCTCCCAAGCTATTAAAAAAAACTTTTTTTTAATGAAAAAGTTTATATTATGCCAAGAAAGCCACTCAACAAATATCTGAGTACATGCATATGTCACAGCTTAAATTTAGTGAAAAGTAATGACAACCAAACTAGAATGTGCCTAAGCACTCCCTTTGGAAAGATTAGATGATCAGTTGCATAGCAAAGGACTTTTGGCGCTGTTTTGCTGGCATATTGATCTTAGATTAAAAACTGGTGGACTTGGCTGAAACTTTGCCTTGCCCTGAAATCTCAGTATCTACACAGTGATAGTCTAGTCCTGCTCTGCAGTAGGGCTGCGATTTCAAGCTGTCTGTGCAGTGGCCCAGCTGCTGTTCTCTTGGCTAAGCACTGGTACCCATTGTGGGGAGAACCTGGCATCGACACTCTGCATGTTATTCTTGAACTAGGCCTGTGCTCTCCCTGCACAGCCTGCTTTCCTCTGACCCAGATGCTATGACACCTGCCTTTAAGAAATGTCAGTGCATACCCCTTCATAACTACCCCTGCCGGCAAGCTATCACAGTACCACAAACAGAAGACAATACCATCTACAAAGGCTAATTACTGTTTTGACCATCATCCCATACTGCAAAACTACCAAGAGAAGACTCAGCCCGGGGAACAACAGACTGGAGTTCAGAATTCACTAGGCAATTCTCAGTTTGCTTGGAGATAGCTAGGTAATCAATAATGTTCAGTTTCTGATTCAATGTGAATCATGAAGTTCTTCATGACCAAGAGTCTGGCAAACTTATTAATGCTGTTTAATACTTGTTTGATATTTTTTTCACCTTTTGAGCCCCCTGAAAGAATTCAAGATCTCTTTAGAAGCAACAGTACAGTTGCCATTTAAATTTGTTTAGTTGCTGTACATGTCAAACCTGTGGCCCGCTCTATATGCACTTTGTTTACTCTTTATACAAATAAACATACTAAAGACTTCACATGCATATGCCTTTTAATTTTAAATCTGCATTTTGAAAGCATTTCAAACCATTAGCTTAACATAGAAAAATAACAGCATAGACTTTGGGGGTTGGTTGTAATGACCTTATACTAACATCACTTGGGTTGTACATCTCTTCTGTCCGGGGATAATGGGCACATGCTGTACAGAGGAAGACCCACATGTGCTGTGATGCAGAGCACCTTTCAGTTCTCTCAGTTCTTTCCTCACCTTACAGCTCCACTGTAGCAGCTGCTATCCTTCCTGTACTGTTTGCCGAAGTAAAACTAAGTGCTGCAGAGACTAAATGCGGCAGCAAAAGGAAGGGGCTGTGCAGGCTTGGAGAAGCCATTGGTCTGCTGTGTGTTTCTTCCTGGGCAGCCATAGGTAGTATGCTTAGGATTGTCTTAACTTCTTAGCTGTCATTTTTCAATGAAAGCTGGTATATGCAATAAATTAGACCAAGTAAAATTTTTACAAAGCATATAACATGTACCAGTTTTAGACTTAATAATTAATGCTGGAGAGCTATATCATAGTCAAAAATGATAAATCCCAAGTAAAATATTTTAATGATCTGATCCTATAAAGTAGGATCATTGAGATCCCAAACTCCATCAGCTGTAGTCTCTTAACGAACAAACTTCTAGATGGAAAGAGGTTTCTAATTTATACCAAGATCTTCATAAAATGGTGAGATCCAAAGTCACATTAATAAAGACAAACACTCTTTCTGAAGTAACCTGGGTTAAATAGATGCTATCTTTCAGCTTCACTACCAGAGGATGAGTAATAAACCAGTGAGGTAGAGCTTTATCAGCTCAGAATTGTCCCACGCACTGTCCCACAGAGCCCCTTAGAAATGTCAGTGGGAACTGTGTTGCCCAGTCTCAGCCCTTGTCTAGCAATTACGTCTTCACTCCTGCATGCTATGAAATGGCACACAAACCTCGGCTCCTTGCCGTGTGCAAGTCTCTCAAAGGCTGAATGTCTGACCATAAGATAAAAGCAATAGGGAGACAAGTTGCAGACTTATGTGTGAAGGAAGGGAGAGTCCCAGGCTTTGCAGGCTCTGTGCTGTTCTGTCGAGGCTACTCAGTTCCCGCTGTGACACAAAAGTACACAGTGTGTAAATGAGTGAGCTTCACTGCGTTCCAAATAAGATCTTGGGGACATTAAAATTGCAGTTTCTTGTTGTGAGTTCTCCTCTACCCCAGGCATTTCGAAATGCAACCACTGCTTCATGGGCAGCACAGACTACACGTGGCCCTGGTGTGTACTTCGCTAACCCTTGTATTATGAAACCAAAGTTACTTTTACTGAAGTACTTTGTTTTCCACAAAAGGTGTAAGTGGTAGATGACACCTTGGAAGTCAAGCATCTGAAGTGACGTCACTGCCACTGGGTTGGTATTTTGTGACTGCTGTCGAGCTAATGGGGTTTGCATGACAAGTATCCATCTGGCCATACCAGCACCCTTGCAGTTTGAGGAAAGGTCCTTCAAGACTATGGATGAGATTGTTCTTAGGGAGAGTAAGGTAAATGCACATTGGCTTTTAAGAAATTCATTCTAAGGCTAAGGAAACAAAACACTGTTTCCCATTTATTGCTTCAGACTTTATGATGTCAAGATTGTTCCCAGGCCCAAAACAAGGACTATTGGAATGCTGACTCTCCAGTGAGCTGAGCTGCTGTCACAAGGATTAAGACACATCTAATCTAGTGGAAAATGCCCTCCAACCAGTGACGTTTCTTATTGCTAGTTGCGTATTTGGCTGATCTGCCTGCTGCATGACAGTTCGTTCTGGGACGTCAGAAACCCGTATCGAAAGGATATGGCTAGTGTGAATGAAGTTAAGGCAGCGATGGGCAGCAGACACTGCAGAGGACCGCAGCAGTGGGCAGCAGACACGGAGCTCAGTACACACGCTTCTTTTTCAAGTAGGTTTCTGTGTAGCTCACTCCTGTGTCCTGAGGGTGCTGGCCAGTGAGTTCTACTGGACCCCCTTCTGGGACAGAGATGAGATAGGAGGAGCTTCGCTTCTCATTTCTCAAAGAAGATACCTATGAGAAAGTAAGAATGTCTGTAAGGAAAGCATTCTGAGTTGGCGTCACTATAGAATTATATTATTATGCAGAATACCAAAACTGAAGAAATACAAAAACACCTTTGATACTGGAAATCAAACTTTCAAATCTTTATAGAAATCACCTGCAGAGAGCTAGGGGTATGGTTCAGTTGAAGAGCAGCCTCCTAGCATGGAAGAGACCATGTTCCATCCTGGCACCACAATCAGCCACATCTAGGACCTTTACAAACTACAAGCAGACCTCAGAGTCCTCACCTCAGTCAGGGGATGTGGGAGAAGGAAACTGACCCTGCTCACACCTGAGTCGGAAGAGCAGCATCTAGTGTCCGGGTTCCTGACAGAGGAGCTGGGCTCAAAAATGGACCTGTGTGAGGAGTCTGCAAGTTTGCCTAGCAACTGGGAAGGAGAACTGGCTGAGTGATGTCAGGGGAAAGGACAGCAATGAGAGTAATGAGATCTCAAAACTTTGGTGCCCCAAGTAATCAGATTTCCAAGATCCCTTCCAGAGACTCTGATCCAGAAAGGGCCTAAAGTTTCCCATCATAGATGTCGTAATCGGTACAGTGATACTGTATAGCATAGCCTGTGACCTTTCCCTACACATAGAGTGAGATGCTTGCCGAGGCAGGTAGACAGCGTGAGAATAGCCGATGAGGAAGTGGGCAGCTCTCTAACGCTGGAGACTGCTCACATGCTGTACTTAGAATCAGCTGCTATTCTTAAAACCTTAGAAGAGAGGCTGCTTCACAGGGACAGGCTCTATTCCTCTATCATTCTGTCAAGAAAAGGCTCCAGAGCTCATGAGTCGCCCAGTGGCACAGCAGTTGCCTTGGGTTTGATCCTGAATGACAGAATACTGAAAACCCGAGCTCCCTCTGTTGGTACTTACTCTTACAACCTTGGTCTAGGGGAGTATTCAGAGTCAAACGCTGATATGCGTTTGCTTGGAAATTATGGGGTGTGTGTGGCAGGGAGGAACACAGGTGAAACCAGACTGGTCTACACATGTTGACAGTTGGCAAGACATGCAGCTCTTCCCTGGCTGTCTCCCATTGAGCCTCAGCATCTTCCAATACCTTTGTCCAAAGACGCTTGCCACTACAGACCTTAGCCACTAACACAGTTAACCCTTCAGATAGAATCAACTTCTCTTTTTTTCCTCCTCCAAACCATCAACCCATTCTATAAGATTTCCCTAAAGATACGGGGCAAGACGCAAACACCACTCACAGTGGGCAGAACTCTGCTGCTCCTCTTCCCTCCACGCGGCAGGGTATCCCATGTGTCATCCTTCCCAGAAAGCAAGGGCCTCAAGTGTCCCCTTCTAGATCACCTTACTCTCCCCAACCAGCTAGACACTGGGTGTTCTTATTCAGATAGTTCTGTATCATTCGGAGAATCAACAGATCAAAGAGATGAGCATGAATGTCAGAGCTGCACAGAAAAGCGCGGGTAGGAATGGGAAGGGACTTCTGTAGCAGTGTGAGAGGGTCGTTCTGATACAGTACATCAAAGACGGCCAGCTTGTAAGGCTTGCTGGAATGGGGAACAGCTGAGGTTGTTGAAGCAAAGCTCAGTATTCTGGGAAAAACTCATAACTAAAAGTGAGTAAGAAAAATAAAAAAACAGCCACAAAGAAGGAGAGCGTACGAAGCAACTTTCTGTTGTCTATCCCCAGCATTCACGCCTCCATTCGTTCACCACACCCTTCACTCCGAGGACCTGGGCCCTGGGCTTTACCTACACTTCACTCTCCCCGAGCAGACTCTGGAGAGGGTCCAGTGGGATGGAACAATGGAAAAAGACACTTGCCATCAAGACTCACGACATCTTAAAAGAAATGTCAAATGCACTTGAAACAGCTCAGTCTGGTCCAGTGATGCTGCACAAGCTCACCCTGAAGATGCAGCACACCCAGGCACTTTCTACACATTAGCTCATTTAGGGCTAGAACAACATCCCAGGGCAGCAGGGAATTTATGATGTAACCCTGCTACCAACTGGTGTGGTGTTGATACCTTCAATCCCAGCACTCAGGAGGCAGAGGCAGGAGGATGTCTGAATTTATGGCTAGCCAGGGCTACATGGTAAGATCCTGTCTCAACAAACCAAACCATTGTGGGCTGAAAGATGGTTCCATGGTAAGGGCATTTATCACTGTTGCAGAGGACAGGGTTCAGCTCCCAGAACCACACTAGTGAGCACACAAACCATCTGAGACCGGTTCTAAGGGATCTGACACTCTCTTCTGGCCTCCAAAGGCTCCTGCATCTATGTGGTATATATAAAGACAAGTAGTGCCTGCCTCCCTCCCCCCCCCCCAAAAAAAAACCCTGCTGCTTTGGTGAACTTACACTAGGATGTATACATTCCCTATCAAGATGCCCCACAACACTTTAAGCACTCAGTCTCACCTTCTTCAAAGAATCATTGCCCATCAGTGTGGATACTTTCAAAAAGATATTCACCTTCAGCACGGCCCTCCCCAGAGCACGGTAAAACTGCCTCTTGTTCTTTCATGTTGCCTCCCTGGACTCTTATCTTTGGAATTACAATGCTGAGACTTTCAGAGCACTGTGGTTATGACTTCATGGAGGTTCCCTAGGTCTTGGGTAGTCCCCGGTGGAATTACTCACCACCCTCCCCCCCGACCTACCATGGGGGAACCCAGCATCTTCACTCTTAGATGGTTCATCTATTTCACCAAGACAATGAGTGGTCCAGAATGATGACGGCTGGGCTCCTCCTTGTTGATCTCAACCAACCACACATTTGTGACAACACCAATCTGGCACTTCCCCCAGTGTCCTCCTCCCACCACGACCAGACTTGCATGATGACCAACCAGTAGCAATATTATTCCGGACCATTCATGCAAATCAACCCTCCTCCCAGCCCTCTGGAGCCATTCCACCCACAGTCCTACCCATCTCAGCCAGTGAGAGTTCTAGTTTTCCAGGTCACAAAGCTTGGGCCATCCAGACTACCCTCAGCATCCCGTTTCCTCAACCTCCCCAAACGGCTTTGCTTCCAGTCAGCCACTGTGTTCCAAGAGCCATCCAGCATCATTTTCACTGCACTGCACTGCCCTGCCTCCTCGCTGACCTTGGTTTGTTCTGCAGTCACAGCTTAGAATACAGCCCTAAGTAAATACATGGGTCTAGTAAGGTCCTAACCTGTCTGTCCTGTCCCCACCCACTGTGACTTCATTTTCCATGTTGCCCAGGCCTCTCCTGCCTGGGGACTCTCCCTCTTCCTCTCTCCTTGTTCCTCTAACATGGCAAGCATGTTTGCCTTGCACATCTCTGTTGGGCCCTGTCTCCCCTTACTCCCTGGGGTGCGGCTCTGAGGACAGTTCTGGTCAGCCAGCTAAAGCTTCCTGCTAATTCTTGTGCTCACTCTGCTAGCCTGGTGATTTAGCTACAGGGCACAGTCCACCTTTGGTATGGTAATTTCCCACCTGCCTGGGAGAATTACAGGGCACCAAGGTCTCTCTTACTGCTGTCACTGCTCTCCACCCCCTGCCTGGGAAGGAATTCCCTACAGCGCCAGGTCCCATATGGCTGGCGCCAGTTTCCCCTCTGGTTGGGAGGAAGTTCCCTTACTGGGGCCAAGGTATATTAGCCTTGCATTCAGCTAAATAAAGTGGCATTCGGTGATCTCTTGTCGAATGACCCAGGTCTCTTGTGTGTGTGTCTTTTGTTCAATCTCCAGGCCTTTGCCCAAACTCGTATAGGTACAGAGGCGCACGACCCGTACCAAGAAGGGTGATGCAGAACCAGGTGGTACACATCTCTGCATTTGCTAGTCCTACTTTGGGGACTTTGTATGACATGCAGGCATCCGTGTGACACATTGTCTATAAACTTCTCATCTTTGCCCCAAAGTTCACCTGCCAAAAGTCATTGTGTCACATTTTTAAAATCACTCGACAAGTCTCAGTGGCCACAAGCTATAAGTTACACACCTTAAGTTCATTTAATTGTATAAATGAATGAGTTGTCTCTGAAAGCTCTATATGGGTCTGCAGATGGTGGTGTTGTCATGGGCTATATAGTGTGATTTCCGTTTGCACGATTTTGCCACTAGGTGGCAACATTATGCTCTCTAAGGAGAGACCCAGCCTCTTCCAAGCCTTTTGTTTATTCTTGGGTTTGTGCCACCCCAACTCATCATACATTCTGAGGCTGATTCCCTAGGCTGGGCAGCCAGCTTCGCGGCAGCAAAGATCCCTGTAGCTAGGGAAACCCAAGACTACAGCTCACAGTGCAGAGGACTCTTGCCAGCAAGCCAAGTGTGGAAAGAAAAACCCACATCACAGAAAACAGTGAAGGAATTCCTAAATTATCCCTCGCATTACTGAAACTAGTGACTATGTCATGCTGAAAAGTCACAGATAAGTGTTGGCCTATTTCTTCTACTTGAGTATAAGGGAGCAGGAAGGAATATTCTATTGGTTGTTTGTCAGATTATAATTAGAGGTTACACTAAAGTATTAAATATTTAATAAGCTGGCTCAGTCTCCTGTAACAGGGGCTCTAACAGCCATCTGATGCAGACGGACCTATTCATCTTTACCTCAGAATCTGAAATTTCAAACTGTATGTACCTAAACTAAGAAGATACTTCAGATGATAAAGCCATTAGATTCTAAATTAGCATTTCTTTCTGACTTCATTTTTTATGGTCTGCTTCAAAAACCTCCAAAATACTAAGTAAAAATGCATCCTCTATTTAGTATAGTTTAGCTTTGTGTCTAAACTACCAGAGTCCATGGGCTGGCAGGATGGCTCAACAGTTAGGAGTGCATATTGCTCTTGCAGAGAACCTAAGTTCAGTTCCCAGCACCCGCACTGGACAGCCCCCCCTGCAAAGAACTCCAGCTCCGGGAGATCGGACACCCCCTTTCAGCCTCTGCAGGCACCCGCTCCCACGCACATAACTTAAAATAGACATCTAAACATATGTCCAGAG